AGGAGATCACGACATTGCAGACTTCCCTCAGTGCTTCGGCGAAGAAGATGGAGGAAAGCCAGGCAGCACAGGCGGCCAAAATGACCGAGGTGGGGAGCATGGAAGTTCCGAAGACGGGTGTTGCTTCTGATCGTTTCTCGGATCAGGAGATCGCGTCCTTGCGGACCGCCCTGGCCGCCGCGGAGAAGAAGGCGGAGGAAGGGCAGGCAGCACAGGCGGCCTCAACCGCCAAGGACTTGGAGGGGGACAACTCCAAGACTCGGCAGATATTGGTGGGAATCTATTTGTTGTGCACTTGTTTTGCTTTGGGCCGTTTTTGGGGTTGGGGGCCGCCAGACAGGCAAGCGGACGGAAGGCTACAAACTAGAAAGGAAGCCGGAAATAGAGAAAACAAGACGAAGGAGAGAAAGAAAGTAAGGCTTAGTAAGGCGTGCAGGAGGGACAGACGGAAGGAACACCCAATCAGGGTTCGGCTCTAAGAAATGCGCTCAACCGCCATTGCCTAATGAGGGGGGCGTTTGAAGAAATGGTGACAATAGCCGTCGCTTAATGAGGGGGTCGGTTTAAATAGGTGATCAAGCGGCATCGCCTAGAAGGGGGCCGGTTTCAATTCGGTGAAAGTACCGCGTCTTTAGAGACCCCCCACAAACAACCTTGTTGATGTATTCGAGTCTACCAAAAATCAAACAGGCGCCCGCGGCAGCAAAGCAAACCAAGTTCCAAACTAACAAAAAGCATCGACAGCACATCTCCACCGTGGCTTGGGCACTTTGATCCATGCGAGGAGATCACAGCCTTGCAGAACTCTTTGAGTGCTTCCGTCAAGACGACGGAAGCGGGACTGGCCGCGCAAGCAGCCAAAACGACCGAGGTGGGATTGCGGGCATGCCGGATTGTGCGTAAGAGGTTGTAGCGATTCGCGAGAGGAGATCACAGCCTTGCGGAATGCTCTGACGGCCTCGGAGAAGAAAGCAGAAGAAGGTCAAGCGGCACAAGCCGCCAAGACCACAGAGGAGTGCATTGGGAGTTTTCTGGACCATCACCTCAGCTGCTGTTGGTGTTTTGCTCTGCGTCCAAGGAGATCACGACATTGCAGACTTCCTTCAGTGCTTCGGCGAAGAAGATGGAGGAAAGCCAGGCAGCACAGGCGGCCAAAATGACCGAGGTGGGGAGCATGGTGGTGGCGGGTTGGTGGAGAAGTGGGGAGTACGGTAGGAATGGTAGGAGTAGGATCGGAGCAGGAGCACGAGCAGGCGTAGCAGCAGGAGTAGCAGCAGCGATCAGCACTGGTGGTAGCAGCAGCAGCAGTAGCAGCAGGAGGACGAGGAGGTGAGTAGTAGTAGTAGTAGTAGTAGTAGTAGTAGTAGTAGTAGTATGTTGGAAGATAGCTTGTTTTGCGTG